TTTGGCAATCGTTTGACGAATGCCGGCTTTTACAGTAGCTGCAGAGAATATTGTTTTCATGTCCGACATTGAGAACACGTATTTTTGAAGCATGCATTTATTTAGCGTGGCTAATGTCCAGTCCTTGTTACTGTTCGAACGTATCAGTTGTTGTTGAAAATTAAGCGGTAGTTTTGACAAGATTGGGATTTCAAAGCTCGTACTGTTGTATTTAATGCGTCATGAAATTCTCGTAAACTTGTTGCATTGTAATCCGGTGGTGGTTGGAACCATAGAGATTTTATATGTGCATTGATGATTCCTCGGGGTTGACCATATCTATTGTGTAACAAGTCAAATGCGAGTTTGTAGTTCTCGGCAGTGGTTGGAAATCCATTGATCAATCATTTGGCTTCACTGTCTACGTAGTTTCTGAGGTACGTGAACGTTTGGATACCGGATATATGAGGGTCGTTGTGGACAGCAGCTTTGAAATTATCAATAAATTCAGACCATGTGAGTAGATCGCCGTGAAAAGTGGGTATTTCTAGATGCGGTTGTAGGGCAGCCATGTTGTGATCGAGGAGTGCTTGTTGGATGACTGGTTGTTGAAATCGAATAGTCTGGAATTCTTCGACAAACATCGAAAGTCGAGCGAAGCAGGCGATTATTTCGACTTCATATGACTCAGTCTCGGTAAATTCGACGTGGTCTTCATCGTAATGATCGATGACTTGTTGGTCCGCGTTGACTAGCGCTGATAGCCGGTTGTCAACAGCTAATTTCCGTGCGAGTATTTCCCGGTACGCGGCGTTTTTGTCATTGGCATCAGGGTACTGCGTGATTAGCTCTTCAATAGGTGTGAGGACGACTTGTAGTTGTGCCCTTGCTTTGTTCCTCCGTTGAATTAGTTGCGTTTCTCTTGGCATAACGATGATTAACTTGAAAGTTGGGATGAATCGTGGATCTTTCCTGGAAGTTGACTGGTGGATGAATCAATCGACTCGCAGAATCCTGGTTTCTCGGCACCAATTTTGTGGGGATAGCCAAGAAGATCCACATGTGCGACCGCAACAATCCACCATTTTAAATTTTGTGATAACGAGTGCATTGTGGGAGAAATATTAACTGCGCATGTGCACAAGTAGAGCGCTGCTGAATACGCTAAGCATTCTGGGTAATTCCATTAGAAAACGTGTGGGGAAGGTTTTAAATCAATGTATCAAGAAAGAAAGAATGCACCCATTGACTGCCTAAATGAACTTTATTCTCTTAAAACATTCAGATATATCACAAATAGCTAACCTAGAAGCAGTGAATGGCATCCTTATTTATGGATTTTGTAATTTCTGGACGACAGACACCTCGCCATGGCATAGCTCATCAGCCTTAAGCCGGATGAGCCAAAATGATAGTAGTCGGGTATCTACGGAAAGTCGAGAAAATATTTTAAATACTTGTGATTCATCGATGTTTCAATGGTGATTTTTTTATTCGAAATGAAGTGAACATGTAATATAAACCATACCATGCGTCAAGTTAAATTTTACTATAATATAATAAACTCTGGACTTCGATCGCAATATTCACGTACATTTCGACTGAACTCTAATAACCACGCGTTTGAATTACGTGCGGCATTGGGCAATGACCTCCAGAGTTCACGCACTGATATTTAAATTCGGGCCATCCAGCTTGACGCAAATCAATAGTTAACTGAAAAAGAACGTCTTTTTTGGACAAAAAACACGTCAGTACAAGATTATGTGTACAAGGTTAGCTTTATAGAACATACATGACCGCTTAACTCTGTGTTTTTTGATAATCATGTCGCACGTGAAACGCAGGAGACATTTTAGTTCGCCCATTTCTTGTCTGGAATGCGATACAGACATTAAACATTACTGATAACAACCAAGAGGCTCCAACCAGGAAGGCTTGGATATTTTAAACTTCGTAAATAACATTCTTTTCAAGCGTAGACTTTATTCGAGTGTAATAATACGCAACAACAATTCGTATACAGCATTGGTTTTATTGAAGTTTTAATGCTTTTCGGCTTCACAGTGAATTATTTTAGCGTCATTTTTGAAATAGCACGCTCGATACAAGATGTCGGACGGGAAAATTGGCGTCTGTAAAAATGTTTGTTGGTTCAGTCAGGCAATGTGTGGACCAAAACATCGCCCACTATTTGAAACATTGCCCATGGGCGGTGTTTAGGATGGGCGGGGTTTAGGATGGGCGGGGTTTAGGATGGGCGGGGTTTAGGATGGGCGGGGTTTAGGATGGGCGTAAAAACTAACCTGTCTCACGATGGTCTAAACCCAGCTCATGTTCCCTGTTGGTGGGTGAACAATCCAACGCTTGGCAAATTCTGCTTCGCAATGATAGGAAGAGCCGACATCGAAGGAGGATGCTTTTCGGCTTCACAGTGAATTATTTTAGCATCATATTTGAAATAGCGTGCTCGATACAAGATGTCGGACGGGAAAATTGGCGTCTGTAAAAATATTTGTTGGTTCAGTCAGGCAATGTGTGGACCAAAACATCGCCCACTATTTGAAACATTGCCCATGGGCGATGTTTAGGATGGGCGGGGTTTAGGATGGGCGGGATTTAGGACGGGCGGGGTTTGGGATGGGCAGGATTTAGGACGGGCGGGGTATCAGCCCAATCCGGTAGATGTGTTAAATATGACTGAGCCTACTATTGAAGTTTTGAAGAAAATTAACAAACTCATTTTTGGTTTTTTGTGGGGGAGGTCCTGATAGGATTGCCAGGAGGACAGCAATTGGTGGTATTGAAAAAAGAGGTTTAAATGTCCCAGATGTATTTTCAATTCATAAAGCTCAACGTATAAACTGGATGTGCCGCTATTTTGATGAAACCACACCTCATCCGTGGAAATGGTTTTTGAAAAATAGTTTGGTGAAAGTGGGAAATATTGAGCTACTTTTGAAAAGTAATTTTGACATTAATATGTTGCCGTTACAACTTAACAGCTTCCACTACAGTATGCTGAAAACCTGGCAGTCGGTGAGGGACTACTCCTCGGAAGTACATATCCTGTATCAAATAATATGGAATAACAAAAATCTTTTGATTGCTGATAAAAGTTTTTATTACAAAGAATTTGATGATGTGGGGATTCACTATGTGGGGCAACTTTTTAGTAACAGGGGTTTTATATTGGATTGGAAAGAAATGATGAACAATAGTGTCCCAAGCACATGTTTTTGAAATGGTACGGTAT